AAAATTCTTGCTTATCCGCCGATTCTGCAACCAATTCACAACTAGCTTGACTAAATAATTGTTGTAATTGATCAGGAGTTAGGTTCTGTTGTTGCGAATCAGCATCTAATGGTGTCACTTCAACATCAGTCGCAGTTTGATTATCCATTTCATTTGCTTCGTCAATATTAAAATTAAACTTATAAGACTTAGACTGTTCATTCTCGAACGTCACATTTTGTATCCCTCCTATACCCTTCATGAAACTATGTTAATGAAATGATGATTTAATAGAGTTGTAGTTTTATCTACAAAGAGAATAGAACATATAGTGCAACTTAGCATTTATCAGTTAGACGAATGTAGCAAGTAGTATAGATTTGGATTTGGTTCTGAATTGGCATGTGCTTAGGTCTATGCCTGTCAGTTCAGTTGAAGCATTGACCCACACCCTATATGCTTATACAAACTTTAAAGATATATTGATTTCACTGCCTTGTTCTTCTTTGATCTCTTCAGTTTCGAGAAATATAGCATCATCACTTTCCTGCGGTGGTCTCACTTATCACTGTTCATGATTCTAGTTTCTCCTACTTATATTTCTGCATACGATTAATCATCATCAATATTTGAAGTCACTGCAAGAAATAAGAGAGAGAACATAACTATTTTGCGTGTATCAAATTTCGTTATATATATGGTGCTCGGCACCGTCAGATTCTTTTACTCAGATTTTCGTCGCCAGTAACACTTGCTACAGAAAGAATATACTCCGGCAACATACCAATACCAAGAGTTATTGAAGATTCTATTTAAGGAATAGTTAAAACACATTAATTCATGTGATTTGATTCCATGAAAAATTGGACATACTGTTGTCTTCATCTTCAAGATAGGACCATTTTTGCTATTTATTGCATAGATACTTCACGCATATCTAATTTTCCCGAGGAAGAAGATTTCCTGACATGACCAGATACAAGTTTCATAAAATTGCTTTGTTCATAACTGACATCGGAATACGGCAAAAGTTATTGAAGAAAACAAGATATTGATAAACCACCGATTAACGTCAATGGTTCGTTTAAAAATGTACCTGTTGAATTTGTTAATGAAGATCTTAGAGGAAAAATAAGCATTTTAAGAATACCTCCTATATCTTGTGTTCGACAAGTTTTATTCGGCATTGAGTAAATAAAACAATTTCCAATATACTACCAAATAGGTGATCGATGATCGTTTTTCGTTTCGAATTCATCAATTATCTGTTATTTCATAAAATTCTTTGACTAATTGTGAGTACATGAATAACTGGATATGTAGTAGAAAGATTCTTTGTTGGTATGATAAATAGATTGAATTTGTACAAAAAATAATCATGCATTCTGATATTTTTTTATCAATTGATTATATACTGTTTTGTTATTGCAGAATGCATATAGGTCAAGTTGATTTATTAGATATTGTCGATAAGCGGAACCCAATTTTGTCCAAGTAAGCTAAAAATAATCAAAAACACTTTATCATTTGTGACAGCGGTAATAAAATTAATTAATACATTTATTAGAATTATTGAATGCTTTGATTAATTTGCGTATATTGAAGTTAATTAAGTAGAATATTAGAAGCCACATTCTTGAGTTTTGTTGACAACGTTTTGCTAACACTAAATATGCTGTTTTATGAATGTTAACTATTGGCCTCTGTTTTTAATATTGTATTTATTTATTTGTCAGTATTGTAAACATTTTATTGCTACATATTTGTATGCTATCGAAGGAACCAGAAGTTGTTTCTTTCGTGCAATTAATAGGAGATGCACTTCTCACCAGTGACATCTAGTTCGATATTTTCCAAATAAATATTTTCTTAAAATTTTTAGATAATACGATCAAGCATAGAAAACTTAACACTATTATAGTAAGTTCATTTCTAGCTTCCGTCATTTTACTAAAAATGCATCTTGCAAGTGGCTTGTTTTCAGAGAGACCGAATTGTGCAGACCCGTTACATTTTCATCACAACCTTTCTTTGCAATGTTTATAAAAAATATGAATCTGTTACACGAACATATCTTCTCAATTAAACGTGAAGCAGTTGTACGAATTGAGAAACAGCTTATTTCGCTAGGTTCAATCAAGGCTATCGTTAGCTTTTTCACTTCAGCTTTACGAAAAACAAGCTTAATTTTATTTTTAAAACAAAACAAAATAAAAATAAAAATATCGGTGCATCCTGAGTTTTTTTGCGAAAAATAATCTAAATGAAAAGAAAATCTATGAAGTACATTTCTAGGATTACTGAGAACCAATAATTCAGCTGTTTTGCATTGAGAGAGAAGATGTCGTTGGTAATTCAGATTGAAATGGTCAAGTATGTCCCATATCTACTTATAGATTAAAGTGATTCGACATACTTTTGTAATTATTTGAAGAATTTTTTTTTGAGCTGATAAAACTAGTATCATGATAAACACTAAATTCATTGCTTAATCATAGCGTCTGCTTTTTAGTAGTAAAAATCTGGCATAAACTGACCAATATAATTGAAAAAAGGTTCAGAATATACTACGGTAAATTGACTACAACAGATATTAATTTTTTTTGTCTAAACGTTAAGTTTACAGGCATCTCCGGACAAAAGAGCTATATTAGTCGATTGTAAATTAAATTTAGAATTTTTTGATACTGGAATGCTAGAATGAAAGTTGTTGTGAAAACACTATAGATGAAGTGCATAAGTGATGTTCGAATCTGTTAATAAAAGTCTGAGTCATTCGCGTCTGACAATATACCCTATGCATGAATCATTAAATCAAGGTTGATTGATAAGGTGCTTTTACACTTTCAGACTTCAACGCGCATATAATTTAATTGATGACTGAACGGGAAAAAATTTTGATTGGTCGAATTTATTTATCCAAATATTTAAATATAAAAAAGATGACGCTTCTATTTGTTTGAAGTCTAAATGAAAGCGACACAAGTCTTGAAAGCGGTTGTGCCAGTAAAATCATTCCTTGATACAGACATAAGAAGGTCTTTCATTTCTTAAATAAATAAAATAGAAAATTAAAAAACAGAAGCATCAAAGGAAATGTTTTGTTGGGATATTTCACTAAACAATCAAACTATCTCAAACACTTTCACGTTTTCATAAATAAAAAATGGCTGATGTGTTTCGAATTGAAGATCTCGATTCTCTAAACATAAGAAAAATTTATAATTTGACAAGAACGGAAAGAGACACCATTCAATTTCTACAAGATATTAAACTTTTGCCAAAAACTCCGATGGCTGCCACAATAGACACATCGATTTGCAACTGAAGAAGCGGCGCATCACATAGATGGCCCCAATCATATTATCGAGATTGGCGAGATTTGCTTCGGCAAGCAGAAGTATAACCGTGATCGTATTACTCATGACCAGCAATGAGTCTTCGGTGGCATTGATCTTGAAGGTGTGGGTATAGGATGTTGTGCTTATTGTATCCAGCAACCGCTATAGCCATAGTTACAGCTACAAGCTAGTCCAATGAAAGATTACTCAAAAAGAACAGTCATATATGATAGAATATAGCCTCGAATAAGCTAGTACGATAGAATATGATTGAAACAAAAAAAAATTTCATTAACACTATGCAATGATGGCGTCATAGAAGTGACATTTCAAGATTTTCAGAATTACACTTCAATCTCGAGTATGATATTGCTACAGAAAAAAATTTGTTGGATCAAAAATCATTTACAAATTTATCAATCTCAGTTTAGAAGATATATGTCACTATTTAATCAATCATTACTATGCCCAAATATCTTATTGATTGACTTGCCTTCAAATTGAACAAAATCTTGTCGAATACTAAGAAAAACCGTATTATTAATTGAATTTTTAGTGTTTTCTTGATTTATTGCTTTCATTTATATCCAACATTTTTTGTTCATTCATTTATTTTACTTTATTTTATTCCATTCTATTCTGCTTTTATGAAACACGATCTGAAAGGAGTGTTTAATTATATCAGGTGGAAGTTTGAACCCGCCCCATAGGCCATGACAGAGAAGTTAATTAATTAGTAAATTGGCTAATTAATTTCTCTGTCACGGTCTGTGATGGCTTCTAACGACTCTATATATTCCCTAGACTGAAAGGATAGGGTCTAGAAACCGTAATTCACCTGCTTCTGTCTGTCTGTCTGTAACACCGGCACAAATGACCATTTCTATGGCACAAACGACCATTTTTATGACATAAACGACCAATTCTCTTGGTACAATTGATCATTTACATGACAGAAACGACAATTTCCGTGGTACAAATGACCTATTATCATGGTATAATGGACCATTTCTATGGTACAAATGACCATTCGTACAGTCCAAAATGATCATCCATATGGTACAAATTACCATTTTTATGACACAAATGGCATTGTTACGGCACAAACCATAGGCGGATGCATGACATGGTCACGTGAAACAGTCCACTCAGGAGATGGGGTCAGTGGAGGGGGCGAGTTGTTCCTCTACGGAACTTTGAGCTGACCATCACGAAATTGCTGAAACTTGTATTTTTGTTGCTAGGTAAGACTCAACCTCTTCCTCGTCTTAGGGACCTTTGAGTCCCATTCTGCTCGTCTTTCGTCTTCACATTTACTGCTTTTACGTGAAACCTTCGATTTTCTTCTAATTCTTACCTCAGTTTCACTTATTCTAACCCCCTTTTACCGGCATGTTTGAAAATATCATCACCAGCTGCTGGCACAAACAAACGATTTTCTGTCCTGTTCATGCATTTCGTTTCTTCAGCACTGTCAGTCTAGGGCTCAGTGAATCGACTTTCGATATCGATGAACGTTACTTGTCATAATAGTGACTGTGACAGAGAAGCTCCACAGATCATCATAGGCCATGATCGAAAGATTCCATATATGATTATAGAGAGTGGCAGAAAAGCTGCAAATACTCACAGGTCGTGGTAGATGGGTTCCAAAAAAGGAGTTTTATCGTGTTTTACATTTTAATCCCATAAGGATTGTGCTAACAGATTTTTTACGAATTTCTTATTATATTTATGTATATTAGAATTAATTAATGTCAAAATATAGCACTCATTTAGTATCAATTTATTTTTTCGAAACTGTCTTAGGTACAGTCTCCTGAAAACAGCAAGCAACAATTATGTTGTCTATTTTTGGGACTGTAACTCATCAGTGATAAACACACTGACAGATTCTAGGAGTCACATTCTCGAAAAAAGAATGCTAGGACAACATCTCTTTTGTTCTGTTTTAAGCAACTCTGTATGATTACTTTAAAAAAAACATGAAGTACATACTTCGACAGAATCATTGATTTTTTTGTAGTATCACTTAATCTACTTCATGTTAATTATTTATCTAACAATCTTCATTGATCAATACAAAAATGCAGATGTGGGAATGGAAGTATAAATTGAAGGTTCACACACGCACACACTTCCACCATTATGAGAGGATAGTCACAGTTGAACACTGAATTCTATCATAGTTCAATAGTAGACATCCGATAGGAATTGGCAAGTTTCTGTAGAAATCGCCGTAATAAATTCCAATCGGACTATTGAAATGATCTTTATGTCTAACTATATGGTAAATTTATCGTAAAAGCTTCAACTCTTAACTAGAAATCATTCGTAAGAAAAGCTATGTTTTATTCTAAAATGTTACAATAGACTTTGTCTTTGTAATAAGAGACTCATGACAAATTAAAATGATATATATTTCAAGAAAATAAAAACAAACAACGCTCATTGAGAATTGATTCACTCGATCTTACACTGGCGTACTAGATACTTATAAAGAACCCAGTATATAAAAATAGTAATAGTTGAGTAAAAGCATATAACTAAATAAAAGACAGTAATAATGATAAAAGAAGCTAGCAACTAATTGTTTTCCAAATAAACACTCAGAATCCCTATGAGAAACTATTTTAACTTCTTTCTGTAATATAAGATGCGCCGTTTTACCAATGAATCGAAAGGCTATTTCACTGTAGCAAATGTCTTCCAATTGTACATTTTTGTTCTTTATTCTACTATATAAATTTGAATGCTGTCGAAAATTTCAGTTTTGAGTACCAAAACGGGCTGTTCTTGAAATTCAAGAGCACTCAGCTTTTACGCCCTGAAATGAAAATTTTGCACATAGAACACATCTCATGCGCCATTATAATGAGCCTTAATGACTAACGATAGTGGTTTCCGACAGACTGTTTAAATGTGTTATTCCAAATGGTCATCTTCTTGGGTTGAGTCCGAAACCTTTGACATGAAAGCTTTTTTTATCATTTTCCAAAGTGGTTCGGTGCCGAACGCGTATTTTTTCGGAACGTAGAAAGGATCTTCCCGTGTGCCCGGCGGAAGATCCTTTAAAAGTTCGCTAGAATACCTATTTTGTTTAGAGTGCATTATCATACTTTACCATATTAATTGAGCAAATCTATTTTTGCATATTTATTTGTATATCGTTGACATACAAAGTAATTAAAGATTATTTCTAAAAATTCGTAAGTGTCAATCAATTTATGGCCAATTTTGTTTGAAATATGCAATAATAGATTCTGAAGATACTTGACGGTG